TGCCATGGGACTCTGATTCTTAGGTCATTTCTGAAAATAAAATTCAGGCTCCTCAAGCACATGTCCCTCTGAAAATTCTTTCTCCAAATGTAAAAAGACTGGATAGAGCAAAACAAAATAGTTATAAAGCTCCAACAATAAGGATAAATCATATTCTTTACAGATAACACTAATGAAGTAAAAGTGCAATTAAAAATTGCAGTGTTGAGCAAAATAAACATTGGTACCACTTGTTTCTACCTGTAAGAAAAAAACCAAAACAGTTTTTGTGCAATGTAAGAACTCATTATCTTATTGAAAATTTCTCTGGTGTTTGGGCAAGAGGTAGAAGTGGCTCTTCTGAAAAGAAAGAAGTATCTCTTACCTGCTTCCATCCCCCCCGCCCCGACCTCTTCTCCTGGCTCACAGGATGTCAGATGGACCACAACACTCAAAGTAAAGGGCAGGGCATACCCCTGCTGTTTTATTGATTACCCTACCTCATACCTGCCTATGGTAGAAATGAAACTCTTCTTACTATTAGAACAAGTCAGAAACAGGTCAGATAAGTCTTCGTCATCTCCAATTTTTATGTTTATTTTGTTGACTGCACAAACAGAAACATATGTGCATTGCTGATAAATGCAAAGCAGTATGAAAAAAGCTATTCTCCACTTCCTAGCAAAAATTTGTAGTATAGAATTATTTTCTTAAACTCTGTGATTTGAATTTTGTGTAATTTGATTCTGTCAATGGTGAGTAAACAAGGAACTCAACCTGATGCTACTGAATACATCCAGATACATATCCACTAACTTCCTCCACTAAAGCATTATCTTATTAAAGTAGGGTGCAGGAGAGCGATTAAAGACATTTTGGCTGTGATCACTAATAAGCACAGATTTGGTATGTCACATATTTGCCAAGAGTGAATTTTTACAGCCAAGTCAAATGCCAGGAAAATATAGGGAGTTAATAGCAGAAATACTGACAGACACTGATGCTACAACTACAGATTACCAGGAAAAAGAAGAGGTGATCTTAATCGAGACCTTTACTAAATGTCAGGAGAGAGGAATAGAGGCCAACAGCTTTGCAGCCACTCACACAGATGTCCTCACTGGCCAGCAGTGATTTCTCAGAGAAGATGCGATATCTCAGCTACCAAAACTTGACTGCTGAAGATTTCCTGTCCTGCGGTCTCTGTGTGACACAGCCAGGGATGGCAATATATAACTTGGAAAAGCAATATCTTTCCCTCATTCAGTGCCTATCACAAACAGATGGATTAAATAACTTGATGAAAAGATTCATTGTCTTTAATTTTATTCGCAGTTGAGTCCATATGAGTACTATTATTTTTGTCCACTCCTCCTCTTTATACTCCTGGTTTCAATATCAGAAAAAAATAAGGCATCTTTTAATTTCCATCCAAATCATGACAAGTTTCTGCACTGTTTTTAAAAACAATCAAAAAATGTTAGATTATATTACGTACAGAAACTGAGGAGTTTATATTCTTCCATAAAGACTGGCTGAAACAAATCTAATTCAAAAATTGGCTGACTCCCAGTTTGCATCTAATTCACATATTTTGTCACATCCTTCACTTAAGGAAGATGATGAAGGCCAAATCTGGCAAAACACTGTCTTTGAATACCTTCCATAAAATGAAAAGTCACTGTAAATGTGTTCAACAGAGGCTATTTTTTTCAGAAAAAAAGAACATAGTTAGCAGCTGTGCATCAGGGAAGTAACATGAAACCAAGTGAGAAGAGCATTACACAGTTGCTGAGCCAAATGCAACTTCAGATGTTTGCACAGCTATTCTGAAGGCAAGAAGAGACATACAGGTGCAACAAAGCAAAGAAGCTGGCTCCCAGTGCGCCACAGTTTCTGGCCATACTAATCTCCAAGATGGTGAAGCTGTTCCTACCACCTTTTGGCTCTCTGGGTGCCCAACGATGACCCTACACACAGAGAGAAAGGAGGATACCCAATGCATCCTAGCAGAGCATCTTTTCATATATCATATGCAGGTCTATCAATCGGTATTTTCTCTATACTACGTGCCCATACTGTTCTCCCAGGACTGATAAATGACCCAGCCCACCCAACGTGTCTTGCATTGTTGTACTAAATCACAAATCATATCAAACAGTTCTCCCTGACATGTGGCGTTACAATGCAGAAAACAAGCCATTATGTCAATCTGCAAGGGAGAGCCCTAGAAACTGTCCAGGCTTCATGCTGAGTATATGAGATTTGACAAGTCTATAGCACAATTTCAGGTATGGCAACAGCACCAAGCGTGGGTGACTGCATTTTCACCAGGGATCTCTAGCATCTTTCACTTATGTGCAAAATCCATCTCAGCAGACGTGAGAATTAGCAAGGAGCAAATAGTCAAAATGAAGGTATGCATCCTCCTCTTTTCCTTTTATTCCTTTCTTTTCTCTCCAAAATTTAAACACAGACCAAATGTTTTCTTTTACTTGACCTTAAGATTATACTGCAGTTCAATATGTATGATAAAGCTGCTTCTTTAATGCTAGGACAGACTTAAGATAGATATTTGCTGTTTTGGATTTTTTTTTGGTGTAAGTAAATTCAGTATGCAAGGGAAGTCTTAGGTATTTCCAGCACTTTCTGCACAGCAACACCAAAGCACTCCCACACGCTAAAAATCTGAGAGTAATGCAACGGGTCTCAAAACAGGGAGACTAGACATGCATTACTATTTAGCTTAAGGTTTATATTAAATACCTAACGGGTCATCCCTGAACAAAACTAAGAACAAGGAATTTCTGGGGCACAGCTGAAAAGTGTGGGAGGGGGACTTTGCATTTCAGTCTAAACATTTGGGGCAAAGTCACCTGCTGAGCCACTTAGGAGACATACAAGCCTGGCAGAGGGGGCAAGGGAAAACTGGACCTTGCAAGAATTTTTCTCTCTTGACCTTTTTTTTTTTCCTGTTTTAATTATCAAAGGGGACTTAATGGCCTCCAGTACAGCCCTGTATAAAGGAATACATTTTAAAAAAAAAAAAAAAATAAAAATTGAAGGGCTAACTTGTAAGATCTCACCACAGCTCCTTTATCAGAAAATGTTCAACTTCACCCTAAAAATCAAAGTTGCTTAAAAGAAGAGTTGCCCGAACTCAGTGCATTGGCCTCTGTTGAAGTCTTCTTCCTTCTGTGTACCAATTTACAAAGAAAATTCAATCCTATCATGTGGAGAACAGGACAACGAAAATAGCATCACTCAAGTGAATTATCACCTCTAGTAACACTGAAAAAGGAAATAATTATTTTATTGCTTTAGATAACTAAAGCTACCTCAAGACACAGTTGGGCAGAAACACAACCAAGACCAGTAGACAACACGTAAGAAATTAAACGCTACCAGCCTGATCTTTAAAACTGTCAGCATTTATTTGTGAACGGAAAATAGAGGACAACAAGGCACCTAATCAGCCTCTGCCTTTAGTGCAATCCCGTTACAGTCAAAGTCAATGAAATTTAACACTACTTTTAAAATATGCAATTAATTATGATTAGACAGAACTGCCCATACATTCACTTTGTACACACAAAATCTGAAGCAGAACAGTAAAACAAGGTCCTGGTTGTATTCAAAGGAGCTTTGAGCTTCTCTACTGAACACCCTTTATGAATTGCACAGATGTCAGGAAAGAAGAATAAAGTTTCAATACACTGCAGGTTAACACACCCTTTATAAGCAGAAGATTGCAAACCTTCTGCAATAAACGTAGCTGTTGGGGCCCTGAGTGCCCCAACGAGCTTCAATTGCCCCGAGTGGCCCCACCTGGGACACCCCACCCACAGACACCCCCTGCCCAAGGTCTCCATCTAAGCTCAGGTCTGAGCACTCATCCCTCCCTCACAAGCAATGGTACAGCTGTGCCTGTCTCCAGCCCCACCGCCTGCCTGGATCCAGATCACTATCAGAAATATGAAGGGCCTTCAAGGGAGCCAGCCATCTCTGCCCATTGTGTCCAGGTACACTTAGGAAATGGGGTTCTAGTGGGTGAGGATATGGCTGGCCCTAGCATCACCCTCAGCTCCTGGCTTGGCCCCCTTTCACTACTCTCTGACACTAATCCTCTCTTGATGAGATGACCTTGTAACAGGTCTTCCAAAATTTGTGCTCATTGATTGCCCCATTTTTTAAAGCACTCTCAAACTACAGCTACTGCTTTTCTGTTGATATAGAAAGCAACCTGCATTTTAGGCTGCAGTGTTATCCTTAGATACCTAAGTATTTTTGGACTTAAGCTTTGGAAGTATAAAGAAAGGGAAATGCTGTATAGGAACATAGCAGGCTGTTAGAGGATTTGATACAGATGTGGTTAAAGACTATTGACTTTTAACTTTCTAAAAATACAATTATGGAGAGGATTTTAAATGGCCACCAGATGTCCTCATTTTTATATAAACAGACTACTGGTACTACAGGAAGGATCTGTACTTTAACAGATAAATACCTGTGGTAGCAGACCAAAATCTTCAGGTGGGATGGCAGACTGCTGCTTATGAGAAATTTTTAACGGTGATTGCAATAGGACTAGCTATTTTATTCTGAGAGTTTTAATTTAAACACAGCTGGAAATGCTTTCCCATTGAACTTTCAGAGCCCTCCTGGCTCCTGGGCACACAAAAGCACTCCCTGCTTTGGTGAGAGCCCCAGTGGGGACAGTACCTGATGCTCTCCAGAGCTCAAGGCCTGGCTATGGATGTGCTCAGTGAATTTCCCGGGTGCAGGGCTTCTCCAGACCCTTGTGTGCCCCAGCATTGGCTCATCCCTGCAGGGCTGGCAGATCCAAGCTCTGCAGTCCAAGCACAGCCCAAATCTTAACAGACTGAGACAGCTGAAGGGAGGTTTGATTTTTTAAAAATACAAAATGTAAAAGGCTTTTTAGTGGCTACATCTGAGGGAAGCAGATAATTAACGCAATTAACTTTTAATCTGAAGCAGTTCATTTATTCTTCAGACAAACACAGTATGATCGACACTGCTTGAACTTCAATATGGGGAAATTTCCTTTACAGCAAGACTCAATAAGAATTCCTGAGTGCTTTAAATCTGTGTAAACACTCATTCAGGCTAGGATGAAATATGGAAATTACTGCCTGACTAGTAGGATGATTCCAAAACGCACGGGAAATGAATAATCCCTGCTAACCTGGTTGGTGGTCTTGGTCAAATCTTTTGAAACCTGGTCTCAACCCAGGCAGCTAACTACTCTTGCCCAACAGTAGACTTAGGACCCTCTGCTCTCTGTAACATCCTATTTCACTTTTAATCTGTAATTCCAGCTATGTAGTAGGAATTTAAGAAGCAAATGATTACAGGCTAACAGTTGAACAGATGTAGGATATGCATGTTGTGTCCTTTATACCTCACTGCAGCTCTCACCCCAAGGCAGAGGGAGCCACAACAATGATCACCATCCTGAAAAGGATTATTTCTGACAAGCCATGAAGACAGGGTATTTAAATTAATTTAATTTTTTTGTTGTTGTTTTATATTACTCCAAGCTCTTCAGCAATTTTTCACTTACGCTGTTGCTCACTGAGCAAGCGACAAGGTGGACGCTGCTCAGGGGACAGCACAGGATAGGAAAGAGGAGTAGGTCTAACGCAAGTCTTCTGACTGTTTCCATTTTCCTGGACAGAAAAATGACTAATATTTGATGGGTAAATTCCAGTTTTAATTATTATTTTGAGGTCTAAATTGGAAAAAAATAATTTTGTCACTCAAGTCGAACATTCAAGCCTGAAATGTGCAAAAAGGGTTATAATGTTGTGTTATTAACATTTAACTGCCTATCCTTGGGCATTAACATCTAAAAACAAGTTTTGTATTTGACACTGTAAGGGAGAGTTTCTTTAAAGCATTGCAGTGAGGGAAGATACATAAATTCATTTTACAGAGACACTTACTCATAGTTCCTGGTAACATGAAAAATACTTGATGTCAATGATGCCTACAAAGCAATGTGTAATAGCAGGCCTACCCAGCTGGGGTGTAAACTTTGTTCAATGGGTTCCTTAACATGGATCCCTTTGTGCTTCCTAATTCAGTGATTTAAAAATCATCTGCAACTTCTCTGTTAACTGCGTGTGTGAGACAGCACGTGTGAAAGCAGTGGCTCTTGCTGGGCAGGAACAGGAAACAGCCGATTCACGCTGCAGGGAATCTGCAAAATGATATCAGAGTGGGGTTTTGCAGCCCTGTGAGAGCAGTCAGGTTAACTCCTGGCTACAGCATTGGTTTGAAGGAAGAGGACAGACAGGGGAAAGGGTATTTACAGTCACCAAAATTTTGATTTTGATTCAGTGTGAAACTGCAGGCTGAGCAGAATTAAGCCAGGCTGCAAAACACCACTCAAAAATCCAACAAAGCAATCAATATCTTCAGCAATCTTAGCTTTTCACCATCTATGTTTTTAAAATGCTGCCTTGAAGAGCTGACACAATGTTAGACTGATTTACCTCAAACAGCACCAATTACCCAACCTCCATGTCCAGCTGGGCTCACATCTGTACTCTGCTTCAATGCTTCTCATATTCCCACAACTCCACTAGGCTATAGGTGATGGTGAGTATCTCCAGTATCTTACTTGCTCTAAGTAAGCAGAAAAGTTTAAATTCCTCATGTGGAACATGAAGAGCTCAGCCCTACTTTGTCGCAGCTAAAGCAAACTGTACACACACAAGCCAAGACAGAGGTGTTCAAGCACTACCCTCATTCAACAGCAACAGTATGCGTCCAGCAAGACCTGCTTTTGGATGGGCAACAGCAGCTTGCTCCCACTACAGATACCCTCAGTCACCACTGCTGTTTCAGGCAGTGTCAGTGCAACACAGATCAAGGCTGAGCCTTCAAAGGGACTGTGCACAGCTGGACATGCCTCTCCCCCAGGGAGGCAGAAGGATTTGAGGAAGCAGAATCCAACCCAAATGAGAAGTCTGCAGTACTCTAAACACAAAACCAAACAGACAGCTATAGCTAGTATAAGAAACTATTCAACACTTCACCTCAAGAAAAAGATCACTTTCCTTTTAGCATGGAAACAAGAAAAAAACCAAAGCCTTGAGGACCTACAAAAGGTAGCTCAGCTATTGCAAAGACACACACCAGGAGCAGGGTTCTTATAAATGGTACTCCATAGAGAGTGATTATAAATTTATAAGCATTTACTGACATTTCAAAGTATGTCCATTAAGTCTCCTTTCATTAACTGCACGCACCTTTAAAAACAAAATCCTACCTTCAAAATATTTCATATGCAATGAATTAATACAAGTATTATCTAAAACTGTAAAGATGTAAACACCCTAACATAAAAATATAAATATGTAGCTGGTAACTACAGAAAAGTTACCTCTGACTTCACGTACAAAGTATAAACAATTCATTTACATTTGAGTGCTTAAACAAAAAACTGCAACACCCAACTTGGGACTGCTGAGCTATCACAAACAGGTTTTCCCATGTTTCACGACCAAATACATATCCCACAAACCTGCAGGTGCTGTTGACCGAATCCTCAGGACAGTGGTGGTGGCACTGACAGGACAGTTTCTTCTCTGGAGGGGCAGGTGCCGTGCTCTCACCATCTTCTCTTCTGGTCTCCATGCTCAACTTGCCAGAACTTCGCAAGGGCATGTTGTCTAGAAAACTTGCTATAAATATAAAGGGGTGAAAAAAAGAAACAGTTCTAGGCTGGATTGCAAGACTTGGAATGAAGGCTTTAAAGTATTTATGCCCATCAAAATTTGAGAAAGTTATTTGAGCCAGGTTTTCACTACAGTGAATGGTTTTCTGTAGAAGCCTCTGCAATGATCACTGTGTTTGAGGCTTATTTGGACTCAGTGGCATTAGATCCAAGGTGCTTATGTTCAAGTTCTGCTGCTGCCAAAGACATATCTCGTGCTTTTCAGACTGTAGAGTACAGCTTTTCTCCTATTGCATTATGCAGGTCAAATCCTTGGTTACACCTTTGTGTTTTCTTTGTCCCTATGTTTGGCATATATCTACATGCACTAAATGCCATAAACATGAGTGCTATTTATGGTACTTCATGCGTGCCTACAATTTAGAAAAGGTTTAACAGAAGTGTTTCAAGTTCAACAGTACTTTCTGTCACTGAATTGCATAAGCAATACTCGGAAAACAGAAAAAATAGTTAATTTCTATTTTAAAAAAACCACTATAAACAGAGTAAAAGGCAGCAATGTGTTTTACAATGAACAATGCTGAAATATATGGAGGTGATTACTTCTAAAAAGTATCAGAGTACTGAATCTCCATGGAGCTGCTGGAGTACAGCTAGAGATGTTGGTGATGAGCTAGGAGTCGTTTAAGCAACAACCCGTCCCCCCTAGCTCTACTCATAAATATCAGCTTTCAGTGCTTGTGAATATTTTAAGCCTCAAAGACAAAAATGAGATCAGCATGAAAAGCTTCAACTGGCAGTTTCTCACTTTCCTTTTGCTTCCCTGTCAGTAATCTTACTAAAGGGTCATTTACAAACAGCTGTCTCCAACAGAGTAGTTGAAGAGCAAGCTTGAAATTCTTGATTTACTGTTAAGTCTTTAGAAACAATTGGCATTATTATTATTTTGATTGGCTCCTGAACTGCTGCTTCGACTCTAATTAAAATCTTCCCCAAACCTTCATCATCAGGACTGATATATAATAGAGCTGACAGAAAACTGTACCCTTTTCAGCTCCCTACAGAGAGATGGAGAGGGAAAACAGGCAGAGGTGATGGGAACAAGTAGCTACACTTCAGGGCTTGGATGGCAAGCAAAAACTGAGGCAAGAACAGGCTGAAAGGTCCTGAAGCAGTGAAAGCTGGAGGAAGAGCAGGGCTGTTCAACAGCCCATGCCATTAGGAGGACTAACAAAGTCCAGTCTGTGCTCCTGGGTGCACAGGACCAGCCAGTGCCCTCAGCACAAACGTGCATGTCGTGTGTCCCAGCTGCACACCCCTCTTCTCCTGTGCCAGCTCTGGCAGGAAACCCCTGCAAATGGACAGGCACTGGCAACAGCTGGCTGACAGGCCTGGTCTTTCTTCAGTGTAAGGAGAGACATGAAAGCTTGTCCTTAGCAAACTAGGAAGGAAAAAGCTGAAACTTGTTAGCGCTGGGAAAAGTGGGGCTTTGCACATAAGAACAGCTCATTTAGAGAAGTGTTAGCTTTTTGAACATTATAGCCCTTCCACTCCTTGCATAAGAGGTATATTAGTAATATTAAGGCAATACACACAAAGGACAATCATTCACCATATCAGACTAATATACCTATAAAATACAAAATTCATACAGCTTGATCTTTGCTCAGTACCTATGTATTCCACTGAAACCGGCTGGATTTTTGATTAGCTCACCTATTCCTAAAGTCCAATCAGAAAACTAGTTACAAAACATATACAAACTATGGGCTTGTAACCCTTGGGCCCACCACCAAGATATTAATTGTATTAATGACGCAACTGGATGTCGAAGTCCCATACTGTTTTTACTAACACTTTGCAAAACTAGAACTAAATGGATTAGTTCACTCAAGAGGCATTGTGTATCTGTGTACTCACAGCTCTATCTTAAGATGCAGTAGGTGCTTAAATTAAGGAAAAAATGCACTGTTGTCTGTTTCTCATAATATAATTATGATACTTTATAATGCAGCCTGTGTATAACCAATTAGTATCAACAGGTGTTTGTGCCCTGGGTCACAGGATTAGAGATTAAGTAAATTATCTTTCAATCAGCAATTTTTGTCTGTATTACTTTGTTTCCATTGAATGGGGAATATTCAACTACTAATATTCCTGTCAAGGATTATCAGACTTCAAGCTCATGAGGCAACAAAGTGAACCCTAGCTTGTGAAGCAACTGAGTGAAATAGTTTGCTCTGTATATCATTTCCATGGCTCTTTCTACAAACTATCTACAGTTTCAGCAGGGATCTCCCCTCAGCAAGGAATGCAAAAGCAAAAGCATTATAGACACAAAAAACCCAAAGATTTAATTACACATTTGAAAGTGCCTGAAGATGTTAAATTTACACAACTACTTTCCTCATAATGCATACAACTATAGGTCATTCCTTTTTTTCAACAAATATATAAGGCAGTCATGCTCCAATACAATCTGTGCTCCTCACTCATCAGGCATGTGATCATGAAGAGCTTCTGCAGACCTTGCCACAAACAACAGCTTACATCCCTAGACCTGGTTGTAGTCTTACTTAAAATAAGACAGGTGGGAGCTGCTGAATTAGAATCAGAAATCTGAAGTACCATCAAAGCACCCCAGGTAGCTACTTACGACATGTACTTTGGTTTTTAGAAAATTTAGGACAAATAGGCCGGCATTCAAATTCACACTTTCCAAGAGTTTGAAGTAGGGATGTGGCCTAAGATTTTGCTTTCAGCTATATGCCCAGGATCAAAATCAGTGTAAAATCATTACAGTTTAGTGTTGAACACATAAAATCAAGTAAAATTAAAAGAGGTAGGAATAAGCTATTTTCAGTCAGGCCCTTTCCTATTTTCTAGAAAGAAAAACTCTTCTCACGCCATTCTCTTGTTCCTTTCATGTCTTAAATTCCTGGCTGCTAGCTAAGAAGAGGGGCAGGTCTTTTTCCTTTGAAATCCAGGTGTCTCACCCAGGAGATGACTGTGGAACATATAAGAACACTTCTACCACTCAGAGTTGAGGTTACTGTAGTCTGCTGAGAAACTTATTGACTGCATCAGAGAACTAATTAAAACAGCTGATAGCCTGAAGGTCACCATCAGACTGGTATGCCTTCATCAAATTTAGTTGATTTTCTCAACTTACCCCTCCTTCCACTGAAATTCACCAGCATGTACAAAGCACCTTCGACCACAAGGAAGCCACCAGGGCTTCTATATATCTTTGGAATACTGCTCCTGAGAAATATTTTCCTCTATAGGACTGGGACCACCAAAATTGTGATATGATGGTTACAAATCTCTACCTGAGAATGGGGACACTGTGCTCAGAAGCAGCATGTTACTGTTGTTTTTTCCCAAATGTGTTAGTGTGTCTCTCCGTGCTTTGCTTCACCTGAGCTCCTTTACAGAAAGGCAGTCTACAAAGATCCTGAAGCCAGGAGAAGGAAAACAAGGAAAATAAAGTGCTGTAAAATGAAAGCATTGTCCTGGATGACCATTAGAATGACTAATGTCTAGTTTAAATCCCTACTAACCTCCATGCCAACAAATAATCCTTCTTAGATCTATTATTCTGTTTTGCTTCCCATCCCTCTGAGACTTCATGGTAATCTATGAGCACTAAGCTTTTGCATCTAAATACCTTCTCATGTGGTAAAACCCTTTCATAGTTTTTCAGTTTGTTTTGCTATCATTTTTTTTTTTTAAATGATAAAGCAGTGATCACAGGTGCCTACTCCACAATCACAGCTAAGTAACCATCAGGATGAATTACGTCTTGGTTTTAAATAATGCTACTTAATGTTGGTTTGACAGGTCTGTAAATAGTGGTACCTTGAACACAAAGGGAAAATTGCCTATTTAAGTTTTGCATTGAGTGACGTAGGTGCAAAAAATTTTGATCTAGAGAGCCCATCTCTTGGTGTACATTCAGTCCTCAAGCTCTTTGCTGTGTCTGCCAATAAGTACTCCAGCCCTTGCCAACTGTAGCCATAGTTATGTGTTTTGGACAGGATTTTCTCCACTAGAATCTGGATAAAGCCCAATAACTCATTTCACACCGGCCCACAGCCATCAGATGGTAACGACTTTTGGGCACTGCTCTGATTCAACAAGTCCGGTAATGTAGGAGGTGAAAAGCTCTGTATTCTGTTACTCTCTATTCTGTAGTTCAAATCTGAAGCCATCCTGTTCCCAGAGGACGAATAATTAGCAATAGTTATCTTAACAGATTGATTTCTGTGCCACTGATGTGTGATTTATGTGCTGTCTATGCAGTGAAAAAGAGTATCTTCCATGACCTTGCACGGGTTTGTCAGGAAGAAAAGTCAGACTTGCTCCTTCCTGAAACAGATGCTAAGGGCCACAAACAAGCCTGTTCAGAGAAAAAAGAAAAAAAAGAAAAAAAAAAGAAAAAAAAAAAAAAGGTGTGCTCACTCCTCTTTCTACATAGAGTATTCAAAGCCTTAGATTAATTCAGTACCATCCATTCACATTTTCCCAGGCCAACAACATTTACCTAGCAACAGCAACCACTGATGGGGAGGAATGCTTACTGCTTCACAGAAGGTACACACCTAGGAAGCTTTGCACATCATGGAATCACTGTTTCAATTGCTGATTTGAACTGGAAATTAAGTACACTCATACAGAAGTGTCTGGACAATAATTAAACAAACAAAGCAAAATATCCAACACAAAACACCCAAACCTCAAAACAAAATCAGTCAACTTGATAAAACCGTTGGATGGAAATTTTAAACCACAAGGTTACTTCATCTATACTAGCCTTTACAGTTAGTGTGCCTTTCACAGAATCATACTTTTATTTATTAAAATACAACACTACTATGCAACACCCTGCTAGAGTTTCCTATGCTGTATGATAAACTTCAGCCTGATGACTTCCCACCAGGCCAGGGTTATACCATGGACATGATTCTTCTAAGAGAAAGGGAAATAACTAATTGCT